CAGAGAAGATTAGGTGATGGGATTATGGATTAACTAGATTTCTTTACTACAGGTTTGGATGTTTAAGAATTTGAATGATGTAAACATGACATGAATTAGATATTCCAATTAGTTATTAGTCAGGAACTCTGATGAGAATCCAAAGCTACTCAAGTACTTACAAGCAGTAGACAAATATACAGCAGCTGTAGATCATGGGAAGTTCATCCAACAACTAGAACAAAAATCGAAAAAAAGAGAATGAGTTTTATTGGCAAGGTATATCTGATATAATCCCTGAATAAAATATGCTAGAATAGCTTGAAGGTGTCTATAACGTTAACTATTCTATTATACTAGTTTAAAGGCTCCTGTAGACTAATGGAACAAAATACTTTTTCTAATTGAATTGCATTTCTATTTTCGGTTTTAAAAAGCTTCACAATTAGCTTCTGTACATTTCCTAGAAGTGCCCATTGGTTTTATGGGATTGAGCAACTTAAACAGATACAGCCATTAGCTTTCCAGTGATACAAGTATGCATTCTGAAAGAGGAGCAGAGCTTTGAAGAGTCAAAGCGAACATGCGATTGAAAATCACTATTTTATTCCTTAATTGAGACTACTCTTGAAAACCTTAGAACTTTTTTTTGAAAAAATAGCAATAATTCATCTGTTGATGCCATATTTCCACAATCTGAGAAACTAGTTTAAAAAATACTTGATATTGGAGATTTTGGACTTCATAATACTTTTATAAACAAAATGCTTTTAGCTTGTGGTTTTATGCTTCAGTCAACCTTTCCATTCAACACGCACAATCTTAGAGGAAAAAGAAAGGTATTAAAGACCACAATGAGCAATGTAAGAGTATGGACATCAGACTTTTTTGATCCCCCATAACAAAAATTACGCAAAATCAGTCTGTTTCACTTTAACAACATAAAATGGACTTAAAGATAGAAAGATGAACCGAAATTTAAAGATTAAACCGAAAAGGGAAACTTCTCTTTTCATTTTCTTTCCCCTTGGCCTTGCATCTGTAAAGAATTATGGGGCAAGTAACAGTCAAAGAACAGTCAGAGAACTGCAGATGCTGGAACACTTAAAGGACATTTTTCAGGCTGGGGAAAGGTTTGTTATAGTTTCCCTGGGCTAGTGCTAGAATACCTGATTTTCCATATACATTATTGATCAAAACCTTTGCGTACAATTTCCAACTTTGCAGATGATACAGAAGTTGGAAATATTGCGAACAAGTTGGCAGAACAGACGGATAGGAGGCAGATAATGTTCAATGTGGAGAAGTGAGGGGTGATGCATTTTGGCAGGAAGATCACTGATGATATAAAATAAAGGGTGCAACTCTAAAAGGACTGCAGAAACAGAGGGACCTGGGTTAGGATTAGTGGCACGGCAAATTATGACAACAGTTAATAAAGCAAACAATATCCTAGGCTTTAATAGTAAGGGAATTGCATATAGGAAGAAGGAGATTATGTTAACTTCTGTAAAATAAAAGTTTGGCCTCTCAGCAGAAGTACTATGTCAGTTCCGGGTGCCACACTTTAGGAAAGCATTGGATACAGCACAGAAGAGGATTGCAAGAAAGAGTCCAGTTATTAGCAATTTTAGTTATGAAAACAGATTGGAGAAGCTGGGACTATTGCCCTTGGAGAAACAATGGCTCAGAGGAGATGCAGTTGAAATATTCACAACGATGGGGAGTCTAGACAGAGTAAGTGGATAGAAAAAGAGTTCTCACTGCAAGAATCAAGAACAAGATGTAACAGATTTAAAGTGTTAAAAAAGCACAAATGATAGATGGAAAAATATTGTCATGTAGCAGGTGGTTGGGCTCTGAAATGCACTGCTGAGTGTGTATTGGAGGCAGGTTCAGTCAAGACCTACAAAAGAGATTAGACAGTTATTTGAAAAGGAAAAATATGTATGGTTATAGGAACAAGGTAGGAAAAGAAGACTAAATGAGAGGCTCAGAGAGAGCCAGTGCAGACTTGAGAGGCTAAATAATCTCTTTCTGCATTGTAACAAATGTCTTGTTCTGTGCTGACACCCACATTCGGCCGTTTGATAAGTAACACAACCAAACCAGAGACCCTGATGTGCATTAACTTGGAGGTTAAATGACAAGTCACACATTGATCTGAGTAACAATTAGCATTCTGTCATAACTCACTATTCATGGTCATTTTTTTCGTCACCCCTTTTATTTGTGGGGGTGTGGATTTTGCCAGTAAATTTCATCTTTACTGGCCATCCCGACTATTTGTTTGAGAAGATGGATCAGAGGATCTACCATATTGAATGGTGTTGGGGCTGTGCTGGAACATTGACCCAGTGATGATAAAGGAACCTGAGACATGTCCAAGTTACAATGGTGTAGGACTTGAAGGTCTTCTATGTTCCTACCTCTCATCTCACTTGAACATGATAAAGGATAACGGGTTAAACTGGAGGGGGAAGACAGTGAAAACTGGAGAATTGAAAGGGGCAAGTCAAAAATGAACATTGAACAGTACAGCACAGTACAGGCCCTTCGGCCCACGATGTTGTGCCGACCTATTATCCTACTAAGATCAATCTCTCCGGCATACCCTACATTTTACTATCCTCCATGTGCCTATCCAAGAGTCGCTTAAAAGTCTCTAAAGTATCTGACTCCACTACCACTGCCGGCAGTGTATTCCACACACCCACCACTCTCTGTGTGTAGAACCTACCTCTGACATCTCCCCTATACCTTCCTCCAATCACCTTAAAATTATGCCCCCTCGTAATAGTCATTTCTGCCCTGGGAAAAAGTCTCTGACTATCCACTCTATCTATGCCTCTCATCATCTTGTACACCTCTATCATGTCACCTCTCATCCTTCTTTGCTCCAATGAAAAGAGCCCTAGCTCCCTCAACCTTTCCTCATAAGACCTGCCCTCCAGTCCAGGCAGCATCCTGGTAAATCTCCTCTGCTCCCTCTCTAAAGCTTCCACATCTTTCCTATAATGGGGCGACCAGAACTGAACACAATATTCCAAGTGTGGTCTAATCAGAGTTTTATAGAGCTGCAGCATAACCTCATGGCCTATAACTCAATTCCCCTGCCAATGAAAGCCAACACACCATATGCCTTCTTTACAACCCTATCAACTTGGGTAGCAACTTTGAGGAAACTATGGGCGTGGGCCCCAAGATCCCTCTGTCCCTCCACACTGCCGAGAATCCTGCCATTAACCTTGTATTCTGCATTCAAATTCAACCTTCCAAAATGATCACTTCACGGGTTGAATTCCATCTGCCACTTCTTTGCCCAGCTCTGCATCCTGTCAATGTCCTGTTGTAACCTACAACAGCCCTCCATGCTGTCCGCAACTCCACCAACCTTCGTGTCATCGGCAAACTTACTAACCCACCCTTCTACTTCCTCATCCAAGTCATTTATAAAGATCACAAAGAGCAGAGGTCCCAGAACAGATCCCTGCGGAACACCACTGGTCACCGAGCTCCAGGATGAATACTTTCCATCTACTACCACCCTCTGTCTTCTATTGGACAGCCAGTTTTGCATCCATGAGGAAAGGGTAAACTGGATAGAGCTGCAGGAAACATCAAAAACACGATTAATTCCTTGCGTGTGACACATAACAAATCTTTGAAGAAAATAAGTTCATTTTACAAAGAATATGCAAGTCAATGCGAAACCCTCATTTCATTAAATATCCAGAAGAAAAACCTAGTGAATGAGGGATATGTAAAAATTCAAGTTAGTTCTTAACTCTTGCAAGAGTTGAATAACTTGCTGAAACAAGTTTCTGCTCCTGGCATGTCATTTGCCTCAAATGTGTAAATGCACCACTTAGTAATTGGCAGGCTTAATTATGATAGGTAATGTTAACTAGATTGGTCTGTGAGCCACTGAACTGAAGATGGAACAGAAAGTCAGGCTAGGTCCCTGCCCTGATCGTTATCTTGTTTGTTATTCTTGCTGTAGACTCTAGAGAACTCTTCTAAGGATAAAATCTGTGACGTTGTCATATTCAAATAGTTTGTCAACTTTAACAATCCAGCCACACACAATTGTGAGGGGCCTTAGAGGTCTGCTGTCACATGTGGAAAGGCAACTGAACGAGAGAAGGTGGGGGATGGAAGGATTTACATTATAATAAGACTATTCACTATTTATGTAACAATGGGTAGCAAGTCAAATGTCTAGATTACATATGGAACATACAAACACTTTACTTCTGTGGCTTATAAAGTCATAGGAATTTCTGATTTGAAAGATTCTTTTCTAAAAGATCATTGTCACTCAATATCTCAAATAAACTAGAATTTTACAAGCATATTCTGACAGTGAACAACAACAGTAGCTACAAGTCTGAAAGTAACAGCAATACAAATCATTTGAAAATGAACTCATGATAAGGACAGAAATTTCGAAAAAAAAAACCGGCTACATGTATTCTCTCAATAGTCACAAGAAACGTCCACTGTTCAGAAAAAGGTGCCAAAAACAAACATTCAAGACACTTCAACAAAATAATTATTCCCAGAGAGAGAAGCAGAGGTGGGGGGGCTCAGGCACAATGGGGGAGAAGCATAAGGGGATGAGGGTGGAGGGAGGAATGAGAGATGGGAGGGGGGAGAGGGAGAGAGGGGGAGACCTGACGGTCACCACCCTACGGTAGAGGGCAGAGGCTGAGACAAACTATCCTGCACGGTAACCTCAACCAGTGTGGGAAATTGATCCACTCTGTTGACATTACATATCACTGCAAATCAGCAGTCCAGCCAACTGACCCCTCTTAATGACAAAGAAAATTATTTTTAAGATTCAAAAACTATTGTCAAAATTATTCAATTATATTTTCAAAAAACATTTCATCCTTTATGAGTATCCAAGTTCTTTCAGAGTTTAGAATTACTATCACATCTTTTCTTTCTTTATAACCCTGCCAACCTTTCTTTTTCAACTACATTACCAATTCCCTTTGGATTCCCTTTAGATAGTTAGCATTAAAATCTACATCCATTCTTCAGAACATAAATGCCCATCATAAGTTATAGGGGGAAAAATTCAATTCTTTCTCAAATACACAGTCTCACAGGTATCAGGTGTCATTCAGTACCTCAGTAAAGTAGTCAATCATTCTTAAGGTGCAAATCACAATCACATTGTGGGCAGAGCAGGTTACATCTTTAATCTCCCCTAGCCTTACAACC